GAGGGGAAACGACCTCTCGCTTTAGAGGTATGAAAATTATTTTGGGGATCCTACTCCCTCTAAAGGCGGGCATAAATAGATACGGGGTATGAACGATTATTTGGGGGGTGTTGACCAACCGCTGTAACGGTTCAATTATTGTTTTTGGTGGTTAGAATTTGACGTGAGGGGGGCACAAGCTAGATTTGGGAATACGCAATGTTAGTTGGGGTTATGACTTACCTTTGTGAGGGTAAAAGAACGATTTCGGAAGTGAGACTCGGAATAAGAAAGGGTATAATTCAATTTTGTTGTCCGAACGATGTAAGGGGCGAACGGTCCCTCATTTTAAGGGTATGAAAATTATTTGAAGGGTCCGACTCCCCGTTAAGGCAGGTTTAAATCGATTTGGGGTCTGAACTATTATTTGGGGGGGGGTTGACACACCGCTTTAAGAGTTGAGTGATTTTTTTTGGGTTCGGAGTGTGACGTAAGAGGTGTGGAAACTAGTTTTTGGGATACGCATTGTTAGTTGGGGGTATGACTCAGTTCAGTAAGGGTACATAAACTATTTAGGAAATGGGGGTGGGAATAAGGAGGGATATAATTTAATTTTGTTGTCCGAACAATATAACGACGGTGCGCCCCCCCGCTTTAGGGGTACCAAAATTATTTTGGGGGTCCGACTCCCCCTTAAGACGGGCTTAAATCGATTTAGGGTCTGAACGATTATTTGGGTGGGTGTGACCGACTGCTTTAAGGGTTCAGTGATGTTTTTGGGGGTCGCCATTTAACGTAAGAGGTGTAAAAACTAGTTTTGGGGGTATGCACTTTTAGTTCGGATATGAATCACGTATGTAAGTGTACAAAAACTGTTTTAGGATCGCGAGTGAAACTAAGGATGGGTATAATTTAATTTGTTGTCCGAATGATGTAAGGCGGGTATGACCCTCCGCTTTAGGGGTGTCAAAATAATTTTGGGGGTCCGACTCCCCCTTAACACGGGCTTAAATCGATTTGAGGTCTTAACGATTATTTGGGAGCAGAGTGATTTACCGCTATAAGGGTACGACAATTTTTTTGGGAGTCGGAGTGTGGCGTAAAGGGGGTAGAAACTAGTTTTGGGGGTACGCACTGTTGGTTGTGGGAATGACTCACATTTGTAAGGGTACAAGAACTATGGATATGGATGGAAAATGCACACAGAAGATGTACACACGTCACCAAGTAGTAAAAAAAAACACTCAATGGCAAGATTAATGAGTATAGAAACGCCAAGTGAGTCCCACCAGTCGTGCCGTCAAACCCAATGAATCCACCTTCTCCCCACCGAATTGCCGCAGGATAAACACCATTTGGTGTTGTCCTGTGGGCCGTGGCCGACCCGAGAGGTCGAGTCAATTCCCATCAATCTATTTATACTCGGCATGGCTGAAAAGTCAGAACTACAACTACCTCTGAGCAAGCAATTCCGCAAGCAAAAGTCCTACCCCTAAGAAAAAAACAACAAACGTATCCGGTAACCCCAAGAACGAAGCTCCTGGGTACGAGGTCCGTGAGGCCTGCTCGAGCAAGGCCCCAAGCAGGACAAATGAGAGACCCCAAATCCACATGCTAAACAAGTCCGAGCAAGCAGGTTCGAAGCCTAAAAAAGCTCACAGCGACTGAAAAAACATCTCGAAAACGCAGGTTCACTGTTCCAAAAACCCGCTAAGTAAGTACGAAACTAAACAAGGCTAATAGTGACTGAAAATATTCACAAAGGGAAGGTCGACTGTTCAAGGCCAGCCAAACTTTCCGAAAACAAATGCAAGTACTAAAAAACTAAAACAAAAGACCGCAAAAGGTTAACAAAAGACAAGACCACTGTTCAAAATCTCCCAAGATATATACCCTGTTCATATCATCAAATTACCAAATGACATGTCGTGAGTACCATCTCCGTCAGTCAAAACACACCAGATACGACAATACACGAACACGACAGGAAGGAAAGGATACGCTCAATCCTAAAATCAACTAATACAGAAGGTTGACAGTTTGTCTCCAAATGGCATCGCACTTGACAGAGAAGCGTTTGAGAACCTGCTTAAAAAACAGGTCACGAAAATCCTTCAATAACAACTATCTCCTTAGCGATCGCACCCGATTGGGAATCTCACATTTGATAAATGTGTTCTGGTCTATTATGTGTAGATAACCGCCGATGATCGCACTTTTTTGCCTTTTACATCCCCACGAGAAATAGGATTGTCCATTTTGCACACTCAAGCGATCAGATGTCCACATACAGTCGTCATTCCTGGAGACTTGCACACATCCTATATATGGGTATGTCTGTGAAACGCGAACCTGACAACCGAGGAAATCCAGTACACCAGAGCCATCGTCCGTGCGCTTCAACAAGAGGTTACTGGGGTAACATTCCTCAAAGTCTTGCAAAATAGTGTGATCGTTACCATGACGAGAAGAGATGACCAACAATACATCATCAATCAGTCTGGATGCAAAAATGCAACGCATACTGCAAGTGAATCGGTATTTCGCAAAGGCACACAAAATGCAAGCAAGGGGAGGGTTAGTACTCTTTCCCATGGGAATGCCCAATTCCTGTTTCAACAAAACACCTGTAGCGTGAAAATAGGTGTGGTTCAGCTCAAGGTTCACAAAGGATCGAACATCATCCAAGGACAGTTTCCTCCAATGATCGCCACCGGTGGTCAGACCAAAGCTAGCCCCCTTTCCTCATGAGTTAACACGTACAAAATTGTGCTCAGCTTCGATGTGATAGCTGATGAGCCAATCAATGGCGCGGCGGCTGTCAGCATGCGGGAGTTTGCTAAACATATCCTTGATGTCAAAGGAATAAGAGGTGATAGTCCGGTCAGTGCCTGAACGGAGAAATCTACGATTGGCAGAGTCCAAACGTTTGGTCAGCAAAGATACTGCTGGTAAATTGAAATGCTATCGTTTGGGGACCGGGGTCAAAAAAAAATTGAGAGCTTTAGCTACAGTCCGCCCAGTGTTGAATCAAAGGTTCATCGAACGACCGACAAATCGGACGAAAACGACCCAGATCCTTGTGTTTAGGCAAAATATAAGCAGACCCGAACTTCCCTTTTCTGTCCCAACGAGAGAAATTATACAAGCCAGCAGTGACGACATCCTCCTTAAGCTCGCGCAATACGAGGCTATCAGGGCAACTCATAATACGATAGCCTGGATTAAGCACAAAAATGCTCATCATGGCGTCGTAGTATACCTTGGGGCACATAACAACTGTTTCCCCAGGGTTACGGTCCACAACCGTAAGCACCAGACCATCAAACCTTCGTTTGATGTCCAAAACAACGTCCATCTGTAGGCAACGAGCATTATCAATAGCTGTAGAAAAACAACTGACCAGAACACCGTTACTCAGATACGGTGGGGTATCCTCGCAGTTGATCCAGTTGGAAAAACCAGAACGAAGCTCATCACGAAAGGAAGGTAGCCGATCGCGAATACGTGCACAGGGCACGTTCTTAGCGTTACTTAGCAGGGGATGAATCCCTTCGAGTTCGTTAAGTCTGAACAAGACATGGTCAGATGAGCGCGGGAGATCCAGGCCCATACAAGTATAAGTCAGCACAGGGCGTGTCCACAGACTACGCATGTTGTGCAAAATATCGCCAATAGTTGGGTTCTTCGTTCCAACTATCCGAACTTTTCTCCTGGCTCTATACAGAAAACACAAAGGTAAGTTCAAATGCATTAAAGCATCGTTCACGATTTTTCGAACCTCGGCAATAATAATACGATCGTCAAAACGTATGCGGAAGATCAGATCAGCACTAAGGCTTAAACCAAAACGACTCCGAAAAACACGTGATATCAATCGTCGCAGGTACTTCCGAGTGGATTTTCTCGAAAAATCCTTGATCACGCGATAGATACATAGACAAGACCGCATGCTCCAATTGCTAATAACAAAAATCTGACGAGGATTACGAAGAATCTAAATCAAAATCTTCTTCAGATACCCACATCTAGGTGACCATTTACACACATGCAGAACAAAAAAACAACCACTTGATTGCAGAGCCGTCTTGCAATCTTTGAGACAAGCAGTACCAGATTCAGAAATGATGTTGGTTTCCCCGAAAGTTTTAACCAACCTCCTCCATCTGGATTGCCACAAATTACCCTCCTGAGTGCAAAAGTCCACACCCCCATTCCCTGATTTCAGGATATCATCGAGAAACTAAAAAAAGTCAATGCGCCAATTGGTTGTCGAAGTAATCCTGAAACGAATAGGTTTCCATGTGTGATTATTACCAACGTTCCCGTGATTCCTTGCTCTTTCCTTCTCACCGGCTTTGTTCTTACTCAGGATGTTGCCCCGCTTAATACAACCTGCTGTATTAAGAAAAGGTGACCAAAGCTTGACATACGTTTGTTCAAGCTTCGTCAAGTCGCTGCCACCAAGAACATTAATAGGTAATAACAAGTAGTTGCCTATCCCAAAGCTAGCAAACCAACAATGGAAGTGCGATTGCGTAGGCAATACGGATGACCTCCGTAGCTACCGCCACGGTACTGGGGAACATTACCTCGGTGCGATGGTCCGCTATATCAAATATAGCGTCGACTTTTCTATCATAGTGAATGCCCTCATCACGACAGATGCGTTGTAGCTCAGTAGCGTCCAGCTCCTTGAGTTCACGCAAAACGCTATCTCGAAAACGAAGACGCTACAGGGAGCCCTTTGTCACAGGTGTCAAAGTCGACGTACTGTTACGCGTTGGAGTTTTGCGTCTGGACAACGGAGTAGCAATCTTTCGTCGAAGAAGGAGTGAGCCGTCCTCCAGCTTTCTTGGTCTTGGACCTAGTCAAACGTCCTGATAGTTTGACAGGTTTTAGGATACCACGTTTGGGTGTCCTCTTAGCAGGTAACTCCATCGGGGGGCTAGGTTCTTCAAAGACCGGCTCGGAACCTCTCTTCGTTTTTTCCGAAATCGCCAATCCCCGGGTCTTAGCACTGAGTTTTTGCGTGACACTGGTGTCACTGCTCTCACTTGCGCTGGACGAGAGCACGTCATCTTCCGATTGATAAGTAACCTTCTTCTTTCCACGTTCAGCTCCAGCTGAAGGCACGGAGGCAACCACCTGATGCATACGATGGACCAAGCGATCTTCCAGCTCATTGACTTGCATAGCAAGTTGGATCTGCATATCCTTCTGCATCTCCATCCTTAACTCTTCTTCTTTTTGTCTCTCCTGCTTCTTCTTCAAAGTTTTCTTCTCCGTCGGAATGCATTGTTCCTCCAGTCTGGCCTTCTCCTCTTCATCTTGACGCAACGCCTCCTCCTTTTTCAACTTTTTCTTCCTCTTAGCTTCCTTTTTCTCATGTTCCGCGGCATAGTGTTCCTCCATAACAGCGACGCTCTTGCCCAGCTTGGCTATGGTGCTCCTCATCTCTAGGTCCAAGTGAGGTACAGGTTCCTGTCTTCCAGCGTCATATCGCCTCGATGAATAAGATCGCCTAGAATCCGACGAAGTTGATGGCCTCGCGTTCGAGAAACGCTTGCTTCGATTAGGGCACTGGTTAGCGTAGTGCCCAGTCTCCTGGCATGCAAAGCACGTTGGGGGCCGATACGGCCTCTGCTCCCCGTCGTCATTAGGGAGCTCTCTCTCCCTTCTGTCGCGGTCCCGGTCTCCTCTCTCACGATCCCGGTCACTCCGGTCTCGTTGATCTTGTGATGACACGGTGACGCAGCTTAATCAACGCCCAAGCCTCATAAACAAAACAACACCCATCCAGGGTGATAGCGGCGGTGGCGTGGAGCGGTTTGTGGAAAGTCCTAAGTCGGAGAAGCCAACAAACTCCAAAGGTAATGCCAGTCAAAGTAACGAGTCTGGTAAACAATGAAAGATAAACGATGAAAGGTACTCGGCATCCGATACGTGCTCACTCCAGCCCGGTTAGCTTGTCTCCAGGTAAGTTCACACGCGCAATCCAATGGATATGGATGGAAAATGCACACAGAAGATGTACACACGTGTCTCTTATACACATCTAGATGTGTATAAGAGACAGGTCATAGAGGTACACAGGTCACCTAGTAAAAAAAAAACACTCAATGGCAAGATTAATGAGTATAGAAACGCCAAGTAAGTCCCACCAGTTGTGTCGTCAAACCCAATGAATCCACCTTCTCCCCACTGAACTGCCGCAGGACAAACACCGTTTGATGTTGTCATGTGGCCGACCTGAGAGGTCGAGTCAATTCCCATCAGTCTATTTATACTCGGCATGGCCGAAAAGTAACAACTACAACTACCTCTGAGCAAGCAATTCCGCAAGCAAAAGTCCTACCTCTAAGAAAAAAACAACAAACGTATCTAGTAACCCCAAGAACAAAGGTCCCGGGTACGAGGCCCGTGAGGCCTGCTCGAGCAAGGCCCCAAGCAGGACAAATGAGAGACCAAAAATCCGCATGCTAACCAAGTCCTAGCAAGCAGCTTCGAAGCCTAAAAAAGCTCATAGCGGCTGAAAAAACATCTCGAAAAGGCAGGTTCACTGTTCCAAAAACCCGCTAAGTAAGTACGAAACTAAACAAGGCTAACAGTGACTGAATTTGGGGATCTACTCTCCCTTAGAGCGGGCTTAAATCGATTTGGGATAGCACCGATTATTTGGGGGGGGTAGACCGACTGCCATAAAAGTTCAGTAATTTTTTTGGAGGTCAGAGTGTGACGTGAGGGGGGTAGAAGCTAGTTTTGGGGGTACGCCTTGTTAGCAGGGGGTATGACTCACCTTTGTAAAGGTACATAAACTAATTTGGGATTGCGAGTGGGAGTAAGGAGCGGTACAATTTAATTATTTTGTCCTGAACGATGGAGGGGGGGTACGACCCCCCACCCCCGCTTTAGGGTACAAAAATGATTTTGGCCGTCCGACTCCCCCTTAAGGCGGGATGAAATAAATTAGGGGTCTGACCGACCGTTTAAGGATACGTTACTTTTTTGGGGGGTCAGAGTGTGACGTAAGGGGGATAGAAACTAAGTTTTGGGGGTACGAACTATCAGTTGGGGATATGAGTCACCTCTGTGAGGGTACATAAACTATTTTGGGAATGGGAATGAAAATAAGAAGGGGTATGATTTAATTTGGTTGTGTGAACGATGTAGAGGGGTTACGACCCCCCGCTTTAGGGGTACGAATTTTTTTTTTGGGGTCCCACTCCCCGTTAGGGCGGGCTTAAATCAATTTGGGGTCTTAACCCACAAGTACCTTTGCCGCGTGGCAAAATAGCGGGCCTCGGGTGGGCCTCCAACCTTTTCGGATGACCGAAACGAAACGACCGTCGCCGAGCAGATTTATCAATGGCAGCCATCGTCGGGCCCGGCCTCCGAATTTTCAGGAGTTTGGGAAAACAACCACTTTTTCCTAATTTTCCAACACTGGCGGAAGTACTAGTGGTTTAACAATTATTTGCGGGGGGTTGACTAACAACCTTGAGGATTTCGTAATTTTTTTGGAGGTCGGACTGTGACGTAAGGGTAGTAGAAACCAATTTTGGGAGTACGCATTAGTTCGGGGTACGACTCACCTCTGTAAGGGTACATAAACTATTTAGGGATTGTGAGTGGAAAAAAGGAGGGGTACAATTTAATTTTGTTGTCTTGATCGATGTAGGGGGGGTACGACTCCCCGCCCCCACTTTAGGGGTACGAAAATGTTTTTGGGCACCCGACTCCCCTTAAGGCGGGATGAAATCGATAAGGGGTCAGAACGATTATTTGGGGGGGGTGACCGACCGCTTTAAGGGTATGTTTATTTTTTTGGGGCTCAAAGTGTGACGTAAAGTGGGTAGAAACTAGTTTTGGGAGTACGCAATGTTAGTTGGGGGTATGACTCACCTTTGTATGGATATAGAAACTATTTTGGGAGTGGAAGTGGGGACAAGATGGGGTGTAATTTACTTTCGCTGTCCGAATGATGTAAAGGGGGAACGACCCCTCGTTTTTGGGGTACGAAAATTATTTTGGGGATCCTACACGCTCTAAAGGTGGGAATAAATAGATATGGGGTATGAACGATTATTTGGGGGGGGTTGACCAACCGCTTTAAAGGTTAAGTTATTTTTTTGGGCGGTCGGAGTGTGACGTGAGGAGGCTACAAACTAGTTTTGGGGATACGCAATGTTAGTTGGGGGTATGACTCACCTTTGTGAGGGTACAAAAACGATTTTGGAAGTGGGACTCGGAATAAGAAGGGGTAAATTTTAATTTTGTTGTCTGAACGACGTAAGGGAGGAAAACCCCCCCGCTTTAGGGGTACGAAAATTATTTTGAGGGTCCGAATCCCCCTTAAGGCGGGCTTAAATCGATTTAGGGTCTGAATGATTATTTGGGGAGGGGGACACACTGCTTTGAAGGTTCAATTATTATTTTTTTGTTCGGAGTGTGACCTAAGGGTCGTGGGAACTAGTTTTGGGGGTACGCACTGTTAATTGGGGGTATGAGTCACCTCAGTAAGAGTGCAAAAACTATTTAGGGAGTGGGAGTGGGAATAAGGAGGGATATAATTTAATTTTGTTGCCCGAACAATGTAACAGCGGTGTGGACCCCCGCTTTACGGGTACCAAAATTATTTTGGGGGTCTAATTCCCCCTTAAGGCGGGCTTAAATCGATTTGGGGTGTGAACGATTATTTGGGGGGGTATGACCGACCACTTTAAGGATTCAGTAATTTTTTTGGGGGTCGCAGTTTAACGTAAGAGGGGTAGAAACTAGTTTTAGGGGTACACACTTTTAGTTGGGGATATGCCTCACCTATGTAAGGGGCACCTAAACTATTTTGGGATTGCGAGTGAAAATAAGGTGGGGTATAATTAAATTTTATTGTTCGAACGATGTAAGGCGGGTACGACCCTCCTACGTTGCATAGAGTACACGTACGGTGGTTTTCCGTTCGAAACGTACAAATAATTTTTGTACGGGATCTGTACGGGAACTTGTACGTCTTGTACGCTCCGTACGAAAAAAAAAAAAAAGAACATCAAAACATGTGATGTAATAACTCAAAACAAACAACATTTGGCGGAGCATCATCTTCAGATTCTTCTTAGAATTTGAGGGGGAAAAAAAAAACAATACCAAATAAAAAAAAAAGAAAAAAAGAAAAAAAAAACTCGTGTGAGGCCCGTAGTGTACGAGGAGCCTAAGAGTACAAGAGTACGAATCCATACTCGGACGAGGGTGCGTACAAGTGGCAATGCAGCGAACCTCTGCTTTAGGGGTGTGAAAATAATTTTGGGGTCCAACTCTCCCTTAACACGGGCTTAAATCGATTTAGGATCTTAACGATTATTAGGGAGGGGGGTGATCGACCGACATAAGGGTACGTTAATTTTTTTAGGAGTCGGAGTGTGACGTAAGGGGGGTAGAAATTAGTTTTGGGGGTACGCACTGTTAGTTGCGGGTATGATTCACCTCTGTAAGGGTACAAAAACTATTTTGGGAGTGAGCGTGAGAATAAGGAGTTATTATGTATATAATTTTATTGTTTGGCCTGAACGATCTAGGGGGGTTTGACCCCCCCCTTTAGGGGTACAAAATTTATTTTTGGGGTCTCACTCTCCCTTAGGGCGTGCTTAAATCGAATAGGGATCGGAACCATTATTTGTGGGGGGTAGACCAACCGCCTTAAGGGTTAAGTGACTTTTTTGGAGGTCGGAGTGTAACCGGGTAGAAACTAGTTTTGGGAATACGCCTTGTTAGTTGGGGGTATGACTCACCTTTGTAAGGTTACATAAACTATTTTGGGATTGCGAGTAAGAATAAGGAGCGGTACAATTTAATTTCGTTGTCCCGAACGATGTAAAGGGGCCACGACCGCCCGCCCCCCATTTAGGGTACGAAAATTATTTTGGGCGTCCGACTCCCCGTTAAGGCGGGATGAAATCGTTTAGGGGTTTGAACGATTATTTGAGGGGGGTTACCGACTGCTTTAAAGGTATGTGAATTTTTTTGGGGGTCAGAGTGTGACGTAAAGGGGGTAGAAACTAATTTTTGAGCTACGAACTGTCAGTTGGGGATATCATTCACCTCTGTGAGGGCACATAAACTATTTTGGGAGTGGGAGTGGGGATAAGAAGGGGTATGATTTAATTTTGTTTTCCGACCGATGTAGGGGGGTTACGATGTCGAGCGCATCGGCCCCCGCGTGAGCGAGGGCTTTCCCGGCTATGTCACACAGGAGTAAAACAAAAATCAAGATCGAGAGACAACTTAAAACGATGCATAAATAGTCCCCCGAATCGCCGAGACGGACGCGGTTGCATTGTCCCTTCGCCGCTCTAGCCGGGTGCGCCAGCTATACGTCCCGCGGTCCCCTACGACAGGATAGGTTTTCGCGGGGCACAACTTACCTTCCCTGAGGGGCTGTCACCACCCTCAGGGGCGTATCCCTACCGAGCTACTAACCCACATGCGAAGGCTTTTATAT